CACACACACACACACACACACACACACACACACACACACTATAATTTATAAGGACACCTGTAATTACCTTTTTTTCTTTTTTATTGCATCAAAGATTTTCACATGTGAAAAAGCAAATAAGTGGAATTAAATAAAAAAAATAGATAAAATCCTTACATTCTTTTTTCACATTTCTATTTAGCTCTTATTTATATCAGGTAAATAAGGAATAAATTATYTTAGAGWGTCACAAACAAGCTGAAGTGATGATGAACTCATCAGAAAACTTAAATCATCCACATGACTTGGCACTTTTCTGTATGATGAGCACTTTAATGAGGTTTTACAAACTGGTTTATATTAAAATGCACTGAATTGGGTTTATTTTTGTGTATGCTGTAATCATAAATAAATACATTATTTTTAAAACACACCTGTCAGGTCAGCTTCTTACCTCCAGTATAACGGACTGGTCCGGACTTCAGGTTAAACAGGGACCCAGTAAATCACAGTAGAGCTGATGGGCACCGGCCTGGGTCTGTCTGAGCAGCAGAGGTCGGTAAACAAAGTTTCGGATCRCTGGGATCAGTCTGGGGTCGCTACTGGGAGGACTGGAGGTGACGTCTTTGTTTCTTCTTCTTCGGTTGCGCAACAGGTCGTCAGTCCGTCAGCTGGTAGTTTTTGGAGGTTTCCTCTTTTATGTGGTTTCTCTTTGTTGTTTGTCAGGTAATTTTTCGACAGAAAAAAGAAACACCTGGAGATCTTTAGAGTGAAACTAAAACTGAAGGATGTTTTTCTTTGTTAGGCTAAATATCCGGTGTTGAAGCGAACAGATTCCGTTCAAATCAAGCCAAAATGAAAAAAATACAGTTAAATAAAATAAATAATGACGGTCCGTCCGCTTCGTTTCCCTTCTGGTTCCTGCTGACCCAGCTGCTGGTCTCTCCAGATCTGGACTGAGCGACTCCCGTTCGGTTTCGTTCTTCGCCTTCCCCCGTGACGTCACACGGAGTGGGCGGGGCTTCGATGTTGCAATCCGGAGCTGATCATTCGTCAGCCAGAACAGGAGCGGGACATACCTCACGTATTTCCGCTGAGAGTCAGGCCCTCATGGGCCGAGGCAAGACCTAAAAATACACGTCACGTCATGTTCTCAACATAAACTCACATTTTAATAAAACAATGGTTTATTTTTGAGGGACAGCCAGGGGCGCCAAACAGGGAGGCCCAAGGGGGGCAGTGGCCACCTGCATGAATTTGCTGTCAAAAAATATTTAAAATAACTTTTTCTATGGCAACAGCGTTAAAAACAAATGAACAAAATATGTAAACAGAAACTTTATTATAATTTCTGTTTTTGGTGTGTGCCATCCCAGGATTGTCATTCATTATCTGGTCAACTATTTTGAAAACATTCGGCAAACACCGCTGGTGACAGCTTTGCTCTTTTAATGAAGGAGAGAAAAGTCTGACAAGCAAGTGTTAGTGACCTAAAAAAGACAACATAATTTTATTTAAATTCTGCTCAACAGCTGCTTCATATACAGCATGAAGAGCACAAGTTCAGGGGGGGTACCTCTGAGGGTACTTGAAATATTTTCAGTCTATTAAAAATACCGTTTATCCGTAATGGTTATATATTTCAATAAAATAATACTTGAATGTTCATTTTAAAAGCAATAGCCTGTTCAATTGAATTATTCGAAATCTTAACAAAAAAAAATAATAAACTGGTCCATTGCCATATAAAAGTAATTTAATCATATCAGGCTCCACTGAAAAATGTTTATAGACTATAATAAACTTTATTTCCCTTTGATGTAAGGGAGACCAGAGGTCCCAGCTTGTTGATTTTTTTATAATATTATTCCTAATAAACATCCAGCAGATCATTCCAGGGATGAGAAGCTTTGAGCAGCAGAATCTGTCATAAGATTGTCTTTTTTAACAAGCTTATCAAAGATAAAGGCCACCAGTTTTATCATAACGGAATGGCTGCATCACTTTAAGAACAATCTGACCTGCGTCAACAGATATGGATTAAACATGTCTCTGTTGAGGACAGCTCAGAGGGCCGATCTTTCCCCCCCACCCCCCACCCCACAACGTGTACAGGAAACATTAAAATCAGGGTGTTACCAGGATCTTACTGCAGAAAACTTTCTAAACAGAGACAGATAGGGAACACTTGGGTCATATTCACATCTGATWGTTCGGAGGACTCGGTTCGACTTTGTTTACATATTCAGTTGGTGCGGTTTGCATTCACACTGCGCTTTGTGAAACAAACCAAGCCCTGTGAACAACCCGTCCCCCCACCTTGACTTTCCAGGTAAATGAACAAGAGTTCGATGAAAGCTGACAAAAACAGGGCTGGTGTGAATACAGCTAATAATCTTGCAATGGAACGTCAAAATCAAAAACCACAATAGAATTTCAGGTGTTTTTTATGCTGTAGTTGTATGTGGAGCAATTACAAAAAAAAATAAAATGTTGCAACGTGGACATTATAAATCACCTTCTGATATCTGTGTACTTGAATAAACAAAAAATAGTCAAGTGAGCTTCAGTTACTTTGTCACATCTTTGCCATTAATTCATTCATGTCAAAAAGGACCACGAGAGCTCGGCTTTCTGCAACATACACTCACCGGCCACTTTATTAGGTACACCACTCTAGTAACGGGTTGGACCCCCTTTTGCCTTCAGAACTGCCTCAATTCTTCGTGGCATAGATTCAACAAGGTGCTGGAAGCATTCCTCAGAGATTTTGGTCCATATTGRCATGATGGCATCACACAGTTGCCGCAGATTTGTCGGCTGCACATCCATGATGCGAATCTCCCGTTCCACCACATCCCAAAGATGCTCTATTGGATTGAGATCTGGTGACTGTGGAGGCCATTTGAGTACAGTGAACTCATTGTCATGTTCAAGAAACCAGTCTGAGATGATTCCAGCTTTATGACATGGCGCATTATCCTGCTGAAAGTAGCCATCAGATGTTGGGTACATTGTGGTCATAAAGGGATGGACATGGTCAGCAACAATACTCAGGTGGGCTGTGGCGTTGCAACGATGCTCAATTGGTACCAAGGGGCCCAAAGAGTGCCAAGAAAAGATTCCCCACACCATGACACCACCACCACCAGCCTGAACCGTTGATACAAGGCAGGATGGATCCATGCTTTCATGTTGTTGACGCCAAATTCYGACCCTACCATCTGAATGTCGCAGCAGAAATCGAGACTCATCAGACCAGGCAACGTTTTTCCAATCTTCTCTTGTCCAATTTCGATGAGCTTGTGCAAACTGTAGCCTCAGTTTCCTGTTCTTAGCTGAAAGGAGTGGCACCCGGTGTGGTCTTCTGCTGCTGAAGCCCATCTGCCTCAAAGTTCGACGTACTGTGCGTTCAGAGATGCTCTTCTGCCTACCTTGGTTGTAACGGGTGGTTACTTGAGTCACTGTTGCCTTTCTATCAGCTCGAACCAGTCTGCCCATTCTCCTCTGACCTCTGGTATCAACGAGGCATTTCCGCCCACAGGACTGCCGCTCACTGGATGTTTTTTCTTTTTCGGACCATTCTCTGTAAACCCTAGAGATGGTTGTGCGTGAAAATCCCAGTAGATCAGCAGTTTCTGAAATACTCAGACCAGCCCTTCTGGCACCAACAACCATGCCACGTTCAAAGGCACTCAAATCACCTTTCTTCCCCATACTGATGCTCGGTTTGAACGGCAGGAGATTGTCTTGACCATGTCTACATGCCTAAATGCACTGAGTTGCCGCCATGTGATTGGCTGATTAGAAATTAAGTGTTAACGAGCAGTTGGACAGGTGTACCTAATAAAGTGGTCGGTGAGTGTATACAGCTTAGATCTGCTGTACAAGCTTATAAAAAACAGTGTACACAAGGTTCTTCTAATCCCAAATAAGTAGGATAAAATAACTAAAGCTCAGGACTGAAAAAAGGAAATGACTGTCTGGCCAGGTGTGGGGGCAGGAAATTGCTCTCGACTGACATTTTATCTCAGAATAGTCACAGTTTTATCTGCATTAATAAAACCATTCTACCCTACCGCTGACCTGAATTCACCTGCTGACGTCAGACCTTAATCCGTGTTTAGTCTGCTGTTGGAGGCTCAGCAGTCGCACTAACTCGCCACATTAATTCACCTCAGTTTGTGACACGCTCAGAAACAAACACCTTTTTCTAACCGGTCAAGTAGAACAGATACAGGATGCAGAAACAGCTTGTAGTCGTCTCATTTCATGCTGCAGTTAATTAATAACAAATTAATTTAAAACAGTCTATGTTGCATTAATAATGGCTGCATTCATGTTGTGATGCATGCATAATACAATAAAATAAAAGGAAAATGCTGTCTTTTGTGCAAACGCCAGTAAAAGAAAGGGCTTTTGCAACACAAGTTCATACAATAGAGATTTATTTGACACTTCTTCATGTTATTTGTTTTATTTTATTTTTTACAAAACCAGATACCTCCTCTGTTCAACTTAAAAGAAACGCTCGTGCTGTGAGRTGATGCAATTTTGATTTGTGTGACATTAAAGTGATATTGCACAGGGGTGTACTCATTTCTGATGTATACTGTAGCGCTACACAAACGGAGCTGCATCATCTGACAATTCGTTCCTCCGCCGAGACAAAGCGGAGGTCGCGGCGTGAGATTGTTGGTGTTTGGTGCGTTTCGGCGAATCACACAGAAGCCGCCAAAACAGATTTCATCGAACCTGTGCAGAGCTGAAAGAAATGCGTGAAGAAATACCTTTTTTTTTTTTGGATTTGCAGAGAGGTTTCCATGTGTTTAATGAAAGCTTAGCAGCTAATTCGAGCACCAGAACCTCTTTTCGCGCACATGTAGGTGAGCAGACAGACACCTGCTGCTCCGCCGCTAACACGGTCACGTCTTCATTATGCAGATTTCCTGCGCGTGCTGACCTCTGACCTTTTCTGTGTCGAACCGGCTGCTGATTCAAAGCAACGAGGCGAAGAGCCGAACTGACCTGGTTACACACGCACACACACACACACTGTTGCAGCAGGTTATCTCCACATGGTTAGCRTGTTTTTACGCCACATGATGAAATATTGAAGAAATAGAGTAGGAGGAACACTGCGTGCATGTATGTGTGCTTGTTAAACTTTACTGTCTCTTTCATAACCGATGTGATGAAATCAGAGGCCAAGTGTCTGACTCAACTACGGCCCGCCACGGGAACACACACTCAGTGGAAGCAACACTTGCTTCACACACACACACACATCTGCTCACACTCTTCTTACACGTGCTGTCCTCATTCTCATGAATACCACCTGTCTTCCACCTGTGCTGCTGCGACACCAAAGTTTTAATCTCCACCTGAGTCTGCAATCTGTCGCTCTGAGTGTGTATGTGTGTTTGTGTGTGTGTGTGTGTGTTAAATCTCCTAACTTCCTGCGTATTAACCTACAGTCTGGCCCCGGCTCTGTTCTGGTGGTCTCTCTCTCTCTTTCTCTCTGTGTGTTTCGCCTCAGGGCATCCTGATTCGTCGAGCCTCAGGGAAACACTCAGTTTAAAGTTTGGCTAACAGTGGGAGTTTAAGAGACCGTTAAAGCCCCGGGGTGGATAAACGAGGAAACACCCTKGAGCTCGTTCTCCGCCCGAGCGAGCTCAAGTCTCCGCTAAATATATAAGCTGCACATTTTGAACGTAACAGCAGGTAAACGTTCCTCCACCAGGTGCTTTCCTCCAACCACCTGCACAGAAATCCTCAGCTCCAGTTTCGTCTGAACTCACAAAGTCAGAGCCATGCATCATTCATGACTTGATGTCTTGGAGACTCGAAGTTAGTTTTGCATCATTTCCTCAGATCAATAATACATTTCAAAGTTTTAACAACAAAAACTTCCATTGCAAAAATATAAATAAATAAATTTGGTAGATTTTATGTTTTGTTTTTTCGT